ATCTTTTACTTATACTCCACAACAGTTATTGATTTGTCTTTACTGGCTATTTGTGTTCTAATATTTATAGGTTATATAGGGTACCTTCAAAGGTTCATCAACAAGTATGGAAGATCTGCAGTCGCAAATGAAAAACTAATCACAGTAAGAAAAAAGCCAATCTACTTTGAGCTTGATTATAAAGGCGAAAACATTGCAGCGATGATCAACAGAAGGCTGAGTACATCACTAGCCATAGCCTATCCTGCAGCTAAGCTCGTTCCCGTCTTTCGAACAACTTGCTCTCTGGTGCAATCAAAAATCGATAGATATCCTTCTCATGTTAACTTCAACTGTATATACAAATTTACATGTATCTGCGGAAGCAGTTACATTGGAAGAACAGAAAGAAGAGCATATCTACGATTTTCTGAACATGTACCAAAAAGCTTACGTCTAAAGGGAACAAATGCTTTAGGCAGTGCCATCGCCAGGCATCTTCTTGACACGGGTCATGAGGTGCACGTGGAAAAGTCATTCAAAATTATCAATAAGCAAAAGAGTTCAATGCTCCTTAAGTTTGCTGAAGCCTTTTCCATCAAGCGCCTAAAACCTGATTTGTGCGTTCAGAAAGAAGCAGTTATCAGTCTTTCTTTGCCCTGGTAACTGGATATTTTTCATCCTAATGCGAGATACTGAAAAGTTTTCATTTTGTATGATTATTATTGCTCGGAATTGTGTTCAAGATTGCATATATATATATGTTATTAGTGTATGTGTATATTGATCGATTGATTTTTGTTTAAAATGAACTCTGTGTAAGTATGTTAAATTGTTATTGTAGATACAATTTATAATGTTTTTGCCCTGTAAGCAGCTGAAGAGAAGGCGACGAAATAAAATATGGTACCATTTTATTCTGCTAAATCTGTAGTTGTTGCTTTGTTTAAATTCATTAAGGGGAACAAATGTATGAAATTTATAGGTTTATTACTGAAAAGCCTGTAGAATAGGTTAATGAAAACAACTGATCGCTCAAAAATGTTTTATTCTCCTGAATTCGTGTATTTGTGCAACACAATTCAAACAGTCAGATTATACACGTCGTGCTCATCACAGAGATTTACATGGAAAGTAAATAAGCTTTAAGGGGTGATGAAGGGAAAAACAGGTCAAATTTTAAGGGCAAAATAGCAATAATAATGGAAACCGATTTGGCAAGATAGATAGAGAAAGATGGGGTGTGTGTTAGGTGTATATTAGCCTCCTTAGTATCAAACACAAATTAATCAAGGTTGATTTAATATGATTACATGTTGTTTAGCAACAAAACTGTTGTTATTAACTAGGAAATTCAAAAACTTTTGAATACACCTCCAAATAATCTTTTACAGTGTTCGCATGTAATATACAATAAATTCTTCTAGTTCGTGTGGAATTACATGTACATTTGAAATGGATAAATGGTGTGGAATATGATTTCACTTTCTGCCTGTAACATAGCCTTAGAAGAAGATACCGGCTTTGATTTCTTATCTTTCAGTCCTCGTGGAATTATCAAGCTACCTTGATCAATGCAACTAAGAAAGACAAAGAGTCCGTCTCTCACCTTTGTACTCGTGCACTTTATTCATTCGACCTAAATTTGAAGTGGCACAGCAAACATCAATCATCATTAATGCGGCAAACCTACAGGAGGGAATCTCATTCACCTACCAGGGTAGCATCGTTTCAGCTGCAAGTAGCACATATGAGAATGTCAGTGCTGGCTAGGATCTGTGCAAAAAAGGTCTCTGTTACTCTAAAATCGGTGTAGATATCCACACACAACACTTAGCACAGGAAAAAGATTAAAGTTTTCAATACCAATGTCAAGTTGGTGAGCTTCTCTATCTGGTTCAGCGACTTGGCGCTAGTGTCACCCCAAAGCATTTCTGATATTCTAATTGCCTTCATTGCTTCTGGAAACTAATGATCAGATGGCCGGTTAGTATGTTGTAGACACTCGCCATCAAGCCGCTCCGTACGGTTAGTTTTCGTACTCTTTGACACTCGCCAGTAAAGTGTAGATTCAGGTCCTCTTGGAGATTTGAACCAAGTGCTACAGTGTAACACCCTACCAATGAGTTATCCAAACTTCCTTTAGTCTCATATGGTACAGTAAGGGATACACTGATTAGTTACCGGTGTGCAGCTGTTGTCAGTCATATTTTTAGTATGGTCATCAAGCCGGACGACTTATTATCACGGCTCACTTCAAACTGATGAAAGATGATTGAAGGCGACAGGCGGGAAGTTTTGGATCCAGGTTTCATATTTATAGGTACACGTCAGTAAGGTGTATTTGAAACTTTGGAAGGAAGTGATTTCTTTTAAGGGATTCAAAAACAAACAAACAATCAAATGCTGTAGCAAAAGTGTAGTGGATACAGGGAATAATCATTTGGTTGAGGATTGGTTCGTCGTGTTTCGCTTTCATAATGGAACTATGCTTACAATCTATTTCCACCCAGAATGTGATTTTATATTACAAAATAAGCCATGGGGAATACAATGATACCAAAACGACTGATAATAATGACGAATTAAAGATTCATTTAAAAACCTATACTAATCTCTTTATTATACTTATATTTACCACTACAGGTTAGGGTTTTACGCCTGGCATTACGCCGAGTTAGGCACAGACCCGCTGACCACCACTATCCCTCGACTGCACCTACAGCACTATACAACAGCATGCGCTACTTAAATGAGGACACAAAACGACGTATGCCGCCAAGGATATGTCAGTTAGTCTGTAATCATGGTCAGTAATATATTGGTCGTTATTTTAGGGAGGTCAACTCTGACTGGTCAATTTCCAGACTTGATATCGACCACCATATCATAGGGTTGCTAGCCTCACATTCAAAATTGGCTTTTTTTCCTAGCTTATTACCTGCTAGATGAGGTTTAGGAGAGCGTTAGCCAGTAGCTGAGAAGCATCTTCTATTGTAAAACCGTCCTCTTTTTCACCCGATCCTACATTACCCCGTAATGTTATCAAAGATGTTACCACTGCAGTAATGAAAAATAACTTCAGATTTAATACCATAAGAATCTGGTATTATTTTATTGTTGTTCAACCAGGTTCCGAATGGAAAATGGGGATTCAACAGAACATCTCAGAATTTTCATGTCCCTGAAGTCTTCAACAGTCGACTCCACGATTCCCCGTAGGCTTTAAATGTCCTCCTGACACAACCTCCTCCATGACACCCTTGATCCCACTCCCGATTCTTCGTTCCTCATTCACCTTCCACTGATGTGTTCGCTTGGTGGGGGGTATTATTCGATAGTCTCCTCAGTGTATGTCTGATCCATCTCCATTTTATTCGGAATATCTGTTGAGAGATAGGTTCTTGATTGGTTCGTTCTTAGAGTCTCTCTTTCTGACTGGCCATCTGATCTTCAGTCTGGCACCAGTGAAGGCAGCTATTGGTAAAAGTCTTAAATAGCTTATTTGAAATGTTTTTCGTGACGCGTCAAGTTTCTAATTCATATTACATTGGTGTTGAAAATCCGAATCTTTTTCTTGATATAAGAATAAAACTTGGGCACTGTGGTAGAGTGTAATTCCATTATGGGTAAATTTTATTTTGATAGAGTCTCACAGTGTTAAACAGTAATATTTATAATATAATATTATAATATTATTATAATATTATAATATAATAATAATAATATCATAATATAATATTATATCAGTAAATATTACTGTTTAACACTGTGAGACTCTATCAAAATAAAATTTACCCATAATGGAATCGAATCTTTTTCTCTATGATGAGTGCAACAGATTTCAGAGTGAAGAAGTTCTGTCTCGCCTTTCGCAATTCTGGTTCTGACATTCTCATCCGTAGGGCATGCTTCCAATTGAGATGATGCTGCCCAGATAAGTGAAGGAAGTGACTTCGCATTCATTCTGTTGATAGTGACTGATGTTTCTAGTTGTTGCTGGTTGGTTATCTTTGTTACACTTCCATCTTCTCTATACTCACTTGAAATTCTGTCTTTGCTGCCCGCCTCTTCGGCCACTCTTTAGTTTACGCCTGTAAGTCTTTGAATTTGTGTGGCATTAGGCATAAGTCGTCCGCGTTAAGTCCATATCTTCTGTCATTATCTTATTCGTGCAATCTATTCCTCTCTTCTGGTCCTCCACTTACAGTCTGGTGCTCGCCGACCATACGCATGGTCCGGGGTTTGATCCTTGGCCGACGCACACCTGATGTCAATGGTCGGCCTGCTGAATTTCGGCTGCCGATATCACACGCTGAAAATTCCATACTTGTATCAAAAATACTGTGTGGGGTCAAGCTATGATAGAATAAAATAAATAATCTAGTCTACCACAATTAGGTATATCATTGGTGATAGTAGGCAGTCTTTACCTACTCCTGTCTTCACTTCAAAAGCTTCTCTGAGTTTTCCTTTGTGGATCAGTTGACATGCGGGATTGTCATATAACAATCTGGTGGTTACCTTGAAATGAAGTTTCTGTAATATTGAGCAAAAAACTGTGATATATGCAAATAAATAAGTCAAAAATGTAATAATGATTACTCGTTAACTGTATAATATGGTGACATTTTAGTAACATTTTAGCATATATCATCATATTTACACTCTGAATCTCACTTTAAGATCTTGAGGTTCTAGTTCAGAATTGAACGGTTGGTTCTCATATCTAGAGGTCTTCAAACCTAGATGTGAATGTCTTCACTAATTGATGTGTATTCATATGTTTACAAGACGTTAAAAATTTAAGTCTAAAGGTCACAGCTTGTCAACATACTTGCAACGATATTGGTGATGACAAGGTCGCACGCTGCAATAACCAATCATTTACATTGTTAAACACACAAAGAGTTGATCTCTCCCTGATTGGCTAATATCCATTAGACAGTGTTGGCGCTATCAATACCTTTTTAACCTTAAACCTAACTTGCCGCGAAATATTATTATTATCAACTACTAACTACAGCTTCAACATGAAAAAGAAAAAAATACAGAAGATAATCATGATTCATTAATAAAATATGCTCATATTTGAATGAGTAACTTAACAAGAATGAAAGGCGATTAATTATTGGATATACTCACAGCATGTCAGTGTTTGCACACTGAATCACGAGATATGTCATGTTACTCCTATTACTGCTATTATTAATCTATTAAATACGGTTGATATAAGAGAAGTACCATCTTTTATAAACACTTATCCTAGAGATCTCTATTTCGCTTACTGTGAATTATATTTACACGGCATTATCTTATGTAAACCATACTAGATTGACGCATTAGAGAGACATTTTATGCGAAAGGGAATCATCATGTTACCGCCACTGATAGTTACAAAACCGTCGACCACTACCACATCATTATCATCGACATCAGCATCAATGTTGCCACGACAAGCCCCGTTGACAGCTCCACCGATTGTGTCATTCAGTGACTATCCTAGTTACAATCAAAGTCTACCTATGAATGAAGCGGAGAGTCTACAGAAAAATGGAATGGTAAAAAGGAAATCTTTAAAAAATAATTCCTCTAATAATAATAATAATCCGAATAAGTTGAACGAAAATTTGACCCACCAGCGATTATCATTAACATCATCGTCCCCTTCAATGGCATCGTCATCAACACATGTAAAACTGCCTAATGTCAATTCAAGTTGGTATTCATTAGCATTCAAACGAAGGCATCGTCTTATCAGTAACTACCATAGTTTGCATAATAAACATACCATGAAAGCGCTACATTCGATCTATGATGAATTTTTCTTTTATGATTCCAATTCTAAACTTCAGTCTGTCAGTAGGCATGAAGATAGTCTGGAGGGTCCGGTGGAGAATCTGATGAACAGTTTACAAACATCACCACCACCACAGCAACACCAGCGGCAAAAACCATCAGAATCTCTAAACCAACACCATTACCATCAACAACAACAACAACATCATCATCATAAACATTTGAAATACTTCCCGAGAAGTATGGCTAGAAGTATGGATAGTTTGTTTGTTGATAGTTGGAATAAGAAAGTGGACACTGTTCAGAATGTAAGTATAATTATTTGTAATTATAATTGTCTAGTAGAATACGGTTTTCACCACAAAGTTTTATCTCCTCCTCTTTATGTCATGCTCTGATCAAAGCCCAGCATTTCACCTACTATCTGGGTTCCACTTCAGTGCCTGTACACTTGTTGAGCCAACTGGTTATAACGGTTGTTTCGGCGCATTGCCAGATTTAGCCATCGAATTTCTTTCAACGTAAACTACTGCCATAAAAATGTCCCCGCACGTAAAATAAGACAGATGACAAACTGTTGGTAAGAGCTTCTATCGTCTCAGTTAACATTTCAAACTAGTACACAGTAATAATATCATCATATGTATATATATATATATATATGCAGAGATGTTTAAAAAGATTGAAATCAATCAGCAGACCAAATATCGATCCAGTATCATTTAGCCCGCAGTGTTTAAAAAAGGTAAAATCAGTTGATATGTTAAATATAATAAGCTCTTCATATCAACACGGAATTAAGGGCATATAACAGCAATAGTAGGGGTACGTAACACATGTAGGATCTTGACATTTTCTTCATAGAAACATTAATAACCCTCTCTGTATTCAATTTACTTGTATGGCTAAGGTCTCATTCTCAAAAGATGGTTACCCATATTTTTATTTGAGCGTAAGGAAGCACTGTGCACAAATATTGAAAACTCACTTTCCTATGCTAGTTATGGCTAATATATAATCAGTGAGTTAAGGTTAAATATTAATTCAAGGTTAAAGTTTATGGCTAACAGAAACAACCAATTAGATTTCAGTCTGTGTGTAAACAATAAATAATTTCAACTTTAGTGTAATAAGCTGTGGCATAATTCTGAACAGAAATTCCAAAACCGAGATTTAGGTGGTCTGTCTGTCTAGATAAGTGACAACCCTTCATTGACTTCCATAGACCATTTTGCATGTGTTTATATATATATATCTTCTATATATGACGGATGCAGTATTCAAAAGTTGTGTCCAACATGGTGACCAATGTCTTTTAGTGATTATGATTAACTTTACATGAAGAAAATATATCACTAACTTCTTGCTATGTTACTGTACGACCAGGGTAGGTTGACAAACAAGACTAGTTGACTTCAAACTACGGATTTTAGCATTTCACCAGACCTCTGAGAGCTGTTTTCAAAGCCCATGGATAATCGGCAGTTAAAGTGGTGTCGATAACAAATTAAAATTTAGCACTCTAACTGATATTCCTTTAGAAAATTTGTGGCGTACAGTTTCTTTTCTATGGGATTCCTGCACTCTGTCGTCATCATTTCTTACTGTTAAAATTCTTAACCAAAGTAGAAACACATGTAGGCTTTTGTTGTTTAGCTTTCATTGGTTCCCCATTGAAGCTATTTTATTGACAGGCGGAAAAATTACCTTAAATAAAATTTGATCCCAGACAGAGACTTCATATGAAATCAAGTTTGTGTTTCATTAAATAAGTGTAAACTATATTTTCTAAAGTAAATGTTTTCTTCAATATATTAGCTAGGAGTGAAATCCAGGGATGTGTACGTTTTTTCCTATTTGGGACTTGCCAGCCGGTTGTAGTAAGAGGAAATGAAAAAGTCTTGATAGGCAACGGTTGATACCTATTGCACAATAGATAGCTTCAGTAGATAGGGCTATAGAGTTTAAAACAATAGATGCTAGGTTCTAGTCTCTATGGGACTTTGTCTCTCTCTCTCTCTGTCTGTTTAAAAGACAGCAACACGGGCCTTGAATTTCATTGCTAACTACTATGAGGGACAATATGCTATCAACCTATCAGCTTAAGGGTATCGTCGAAGCATTCATACTAGGCGCCGATACGCCAACAGAGACCGAGTATTTGGTCACACTGAAATCATCAAACGATGGATTTTGGAGTGTACATAAAAAATGAGTTCCGCAAATACATTAATGAACGATAATATCAAGGTTAATTTTTACTTGACTGTTCTGTTCTTTATATAAAATCTTTAGACATTGAAGAAATGTAGACATGCAGTCAATTTGAGAGTTTTTAGAGTTCGGTAATGAATACTATTTCTGACTGAGATTTCTGGACAGCTAAATATCACCACTGCTGAAGGAAATAAAGACAGTTAATTCATTACTGTCATATTCCACTTGTCATGAAAAATAATTGATGAAAAATCAATAATGAAGGTTTTCAAGAGTTAGTTTGTAGAGATTTGATTTGTTTCCAATTTTCACCATGAACTAATATATATCAGAGAACCTCTGGAGAATCAGGGAGTATTGAGTGGCTGTTTCACCTCAGTTAGGCACTCATCGGCAGCACGCGTCCACCGGGGTTCAAATCCAGGACCTCATGGTCGCGATACAAGCTTGTCCAGTATTCCTCCTCGCTCCAGACCGGATGTACCCCACTGGTCATGACTTCTCACTAGAACTCCACGCAACTTCATCCTGGAGCCAGTCAGCCTGTGATCAAACTTGATGTTAATCAAATCCCTAATAACTGACTCATTGAAATTAGTCTGGTGCTCACTAGTGAGTTCTGATGAGTCTCAAACTCGGAAGAAACAACTGTCCAGTTCTTTAATTGATACCGATCCCTGCGCAAACTTGAAATAATGAAGGTCTTATTCAACTGGAAGTTTCTCAGTAATCCAACTGGATGACTTATAATTAAACGGGTGTACTTACACCTTCTGATTGGTGGAAAATTCCTATTAGACCATATACAAAATGAAAACAAGTAATTCAGCGTAGAGATTCTTTTCAATGAATTTATTTTCAACTTTTGATGTATATTAAGGTCTAGCCTTTCTATTTTGATGGCCAAAGCTTCAGCAGTACAAATGAGTCGGACAAGTAGAGATTTCGGCAGGTTATTTTTCGCTTTATGTACAATTTAAAAGGACGGGTATAGACTTAATTTCGTCTCTTTCACACTTTTTGTGACAACAGTTATACCTTTATAAATGCAGAATCTGAGGCACGAAGATGGTGAGACGAAAACATTTATTTCCCTGAATCGTTTTAATCGTTAGATTACATAGAATCAGATTTTAGGAGTTTCGCAATTTAAAGCCGTGTCTGTTTCGGTTTGTCAATGATGATAGAACCGAGGACGCGCACTTTATACTATTTTTGACTCATCAGGCAGCTATAGCTATTTACACACACATCTTCAGTGCGTGATGATGTTCCCGCTGAGAGTTGTATCCTGCAAATGTCACTCTCAAATGGCTAATTGTTCTCCACTAAGCTACTGGTCCTCAAGCAGCACATACTGTGTCACAGGGTATAGCATGCATAGTGACCGCCAAACAAATAACCCCACGTTAACCATCAGATATCGCTGAAGTGTTCTTATTAGAAGTCGATGTTGAAGCAGGTTCCCGAAAACCATTATACACGACCATCACAAAAGTATCAGGATATCATGTGACAGTTAAAGACTAGATTGTTATTAGTGAGTGAATTATTCTGATCATAAGTGATACCAAAAAAACTAAAACAGAAACAATATCTTTCCTCTTAAATATATTCAGAATGAAGCACTCACTGAACACTGAAGTGTGCTCTAAATATGTTGTCTGTAAAACACAGAAAATGAAGGCCGTTCTAGTTAAACCATCCATTTTATAGAGCACAACCACATCATCAATCATTGACAAGGCATCTGAAAACCTTGGGAAACTTATATTTCTTTCGAGGCAATCACCCCCAGAGAAAAAATTTAAACTTGTTTAATTTAGACTTTAAATTCAGGTGATCTAAGATCATACTATTGAGGGTAGAATAGTCTCTTCGACTTGTGCGTATCGAGATGTCTAAAATTTATGGATATACAAATTCACAGTACTAAGAATACAAGATGTTAGTAGATTTTTTCAAACGAATCAACTCAAAGGTAGAAGCAGTTCATTTCACCAGTGAATTGCACAGTCATGACTGGGGAGCTTGTAATGTTAGATTATAGCATAAAAAGGAAGGAAGATAAGAAGCTAAACAACAAACAGTGTTTGCCGTAAAAAATCCAATAAAACCGGGATTGGGATTAAGGGATTCATCTTAATACGGGTCAGTAAAAATAGGATTAGCAAAATGTTTAAGTAACAGGACAGAACGACTAAATTGTACTGCTGAATATCTCCAGTAGCAAGTGCGACTTATAAGCGAAGCTTTATTATTATTCCCTCTGGTTCCAAAGGGAACATAGAGCTTGAATGGCACATTTCCACTCCACCCTCTCCTCTGTGGTCCTCTTTTGCTGGTCCCGCGATTACCAATAATCTTTCATCTCTCTCTCATCTTCTCTTCACATGATCTCCTCGGGCGCCTAACTCATCGTTTCCTGTTCGAGTTCCACTCAATGGCTTAACGCTTGATGTCATGTACAGGTCTCCTAAGCGTGTGTCCAATCCATTTTCTTCGTAATATCTATTGAGCAATAGGTTCTTGGTTGGTTTGTTCACAAAGTTTCTTATTGCTAACTCTTTCTCTCTGGCCATCTCATCTTACGTATACAGCTAGAGAAGGCAGATGTTGATATAAGTCTGAAGTTGCCTGTTGGAAAAATGGTTTTCATAAAGCGTGAACTATGTTTCTGACCCATACAGAAGCAATGATTGACATAAGCTTGATGTTGAAAATCTTAATTTTTTTCTTTATAGGGAGTGCAGAAAATTTTCACTGAAAGTCTTTCTGAACTTTCCGATTCTGGTTTTAACATCCTCATCAATGGGGTGTGTCTGTAGTTGAAACGATGTTATCTAGAAGAATGAAGGAGGTGACCTTCTGCAAATTTCTACCCTTGGTAGTCAGTGGTGCTTGTCGTTGTGGTTGTTGTTGTTGTTGCTTTCGGTCATCAGGTACCTTCGTCACCCTTATCTTTTCCATTTTTAATTGAAATCCTGTGTTTGCTGGTTCTTCTGTCAAATTGTTGGTTCCCACGTGTAAATATTCAAAAATATGTGAAATCGTCCTCGAAGCCAATATATAGCACATGGCATTTATCCCG